CTGCGAAATCCCTTTAGTCGCCAGCTGCGAAATCCCTCCGGTCGCCAGCTGCGAACTTGCCCATGACTCCAACTCAGCCTTGGATTCGCGATCAGCCTTAAAGATGCACCAAAGCGAACTCGCCTCGCCCCTGAGAACGATGGGCCCAACCTATCTGTGCCGGGCCCGCGAGTAATGTGCCCGGCGGGGCGCCAAAGTTTGCCCGCCCCTGAGGCTCGCCCCGCGCGGCGCCACTGTTCAGTTCGCGCAGGTCTGCCTCGCCACAAGTCGTCAAATCTGAGGTGGCACTTCGCTCTGCACGCCTAAGTTGAGCTCGCCCTGAGCGGCCAGCATGAGGTCAGCTCGCGACAGAGCCGTCTAGGTTCGCCTCGCCAGATGGACCAACCAGGATTCGCTGCCCAATCCAGGTTTCCAAGTCCATCGCACAACTTCGCGAGTTCGCCCTGGAATTCGCAGGGTGGGGGTCTCGCGAGCTCGCCCTGGATTTCGCGAAGGCCCCACCTCGCGAACTTGCCCTTTACTTCGCTCGGTGGGGGTGTCGCGAGCTGGGCCTGGGCCTCGCGAACGCCCCACCGTCTCGCGAGCTCGCCGCGGACCTTGCCAGGTGGGGGCGTCGCGCGGGGGGTGGGGTTCAGCTCGCACAGCTGTACAAGCTACCCCCTTACAAAACTGATCGTCCCGGATCAGCAAGGATGATGTACAGCTGAAATCCAAGTCGGCCAGCTCCTCCATCCAAGTCCCGCCAGGATCCCAGGGCGCCCACGCTAAAGAGCCCGCAATTTCGAAGTCGCTCCTCGATGCAACTAGGGGCTCGCGCATGGCTCCCTTCAAAGCCGCCCCAAATTCAGTCGCGACTAACGCTTCACTCACACCTTCGAGATCGGCCATGATGAGTGTTCCCTCAACATCGGAAAAAGCGGGTCTCGCCGCTCCTATTTAGGATAGGGTGCCGCTCTTAATAACGCTTACCCATCATGTGCCGGATGGCTGCCGGTTATGGTGCCGCACAGATGCCCGGCATCAATGCATGCCGTGCGGCCGTCGGTACCGCCGGTCGGCATGTACATATGCAACAGCGCGGCGGTCCGTATGCCGACCTCACGT